TGTTCTATATCACTGTCTATATTTTTTGATGTCGTAAACGGCCGCTAGATGGCACTTAGGGGCATTGAGATATGTACGCAATGTTGAACGTGAGCGTATACAATTTTGAATAGATTAGATATGGCCTTCAAAATAGTTAAACAGCTGGAACAATTATTAGACAGATATGTGAGTAATGCAATGATGAGGCAAGTAAGGATTGGAAATATTTAAAAACGTTTATGCACAGCAGTTGCGAACTGGGTTTTAATAATTTATATAAGATATGAGAAAATTTATCGACCCGACCAACATTCTATAATCAGACTTTATATAAGGAAACATTAGAATAGTTTTTGGGACGTATGTGAATATATATATATATATATATATATAAAAAAAGAAGATATATATATATAAACGTTTTTATATGTAATGTGGATTTATTGAGAAAAAATATTATACTTTTGTTTTACATAATTTCACGACACGTGTTTCTGGTCTGGTCTCGCAACCGTCTTCAGGTGAAAGTGGAGATTTTTACATATTATTAAAATAATTAATTTTCTTCATGTTCAATGTGGAATATTTCGATATGAGACATTCTGTTTGAAGTTTGTGTAAACATAAATTTTCTTTCTAGAATTGTCAATGAATAGTTCTATATGAATGGTCATAAAACAATTAAGGTTTGTCCAGCGATAGTTATTCACATTTAATCTTTTAATGTTTTAGTGACCTCTATGTGCTCTTGGATCTGTTTCTATTTTGGCGTGTTCCCGTCAGCATGCGTGTATATATGCGTGCGTATATTTCCTTATACAAAATCGTAAACTTATTTTCTACCTATACACGCATACACACACATACACACTATCCCACCACAAGTAGTCAGTACTGATCCAAGAGCAAGTGAAATTATGTAAAACAAAGTATAATATTTTTTCTCAATAAATCCACATTACAACCAAAAAGTTTGCGGCACCCCCCTTCTTTTTTAATATACATACTTTTCTCTCGTTGGAACCACTACAACATATTTCTTTTATATATATATATATATATATATATATATATATATTATGAAATGGAGAAAGTCCGACAATTATTTTCACGGGGGACTTCAATATTTTTCTAAAATTTCTCGGACATTCAGGCCGGTAAATGTTGTTTAATACTGTTTATTATAAACAGAGCATTTACTTAAATATTTGTATCTATAAAAAGAATGTATAAACATAAAATGTCTTTATATATATATATATATATATATATATATATATATATATATATATATATATATATTCATATAAATATTCACATATATATATGTGTGTGTGTGTGTGTGTGTGTGTGTGTGTGTACGTGTGTAATTGTCGGTGTGTGTAGTAATATATGATACAATATAACTATTTATATTGGATCATACATTATATTATATAATAATAATAATAATAATAATAATGATAATAATAATAAAGTTAATGGTTGGAGTTGCATTAGACCCGGAAACAGTTGTATTAAAATATGCTCAATACGCATATAAATAGATAAAAATTGAACATGTAGAGCTTTTAAGTATATAAAATTAGGAACTCAGCTGATTCCGCTACCTTGGTTTCAACCTTTTGGTATCTTCAGGTGATTTCTGTCAATTGATTATCTAACGCTTTAGTTTTTTTTTTTAAAAAAAATTATGAACGCTATATTTTTTAAAAATAAATGAATAAGCGTATGACATAAGGTGTGGTAGAAGGTGAGGTGTAAGGGAAAAGCAAAAGTATTGGAAATGTATCGGTGGGAGAATAAATGAAATATACATACTTTCTTTTCATCCCGCTTCATATGAACTCAAAAAGAACTTTTTAGTATGTATACAACTGGATAAAATTTCCGTTTTCTGATTCAAAAGGTGTTTTTGGTCTAGAAATGCGATTATAGTTAATTTCTCATTTTAACAAAAGTTGAAGATGTTACTATGATTTTTGTAAGATTTTGCTTTTTTTTTTGGATTTTCCTTTTTACAGTCGCAACTATTTATTTTTCCTACAATTTCAGTACATGTTTAGCTAGTCTAGTAGAATATCATAAGATATTCTAGCTTAAAAGGTGTCTTGTGATTGTACCACCTCTTTTTATAGTTACTCTCAGTACACTTCTGTTTATATTTTTCTGCTCATTTGTATCTGTTACTTTATTTATATATATATATATATATATATATATATATATATATATATATATATATATATAAACATTGAAGTTATCCCCAAGAAGCGGTAGTCGTCTCTACTTTTCATTTCAATGTCTAATTTTATATTAATATACCGTCTGTCCCATATTTAACAGAACCCATAAATATAACATTTGCATTTTATCATATATATATATATATATATATATATATATATATATATATATATATATACGTATATGTGCGTGTGTGTGTGCGGTGTGTGTGTTTCAAAATGAGAAAAGAACAGATGAGTATAATCCCACTGTTCAATTTACTATTTTTTTTAAATGTTCAATACAAATAAAGCAATATATTATTATTTTTACCATAAGAAATTTCAACATGTTTTTATTATAATAACTTATAGTAAAAATAATTATATATATATATGAACTGCAAAATGTGTGTGTGTGTGTGTGTGTGTGTGTGTGTGTGTGTGTGTGCACGAATTTGTTGTAAAACATGTATAAAATGAATGGGAAAATAATTATGATTATCTATATATTAAAACCTTTTAACTACTTATGTATAGTTTGTATCATGCTAATTCTATTAGACCAAGACTATGTTGAGCGTCCGAGAGAGAAACAAAGAGAGAGACATAAAGGACAAAACAGAAAGATTGGTAGGCACGAAGAGATACAAAAAGAGACTGCAACACAGAGAGAGGTTGGACGACGAGTCATCTTAGATAAAGGCTGTTATTTGGAATGAGGGGTTAAATCTTATTGCGTAGCGTAACAATTTAGAGAGGATAAATTTGTTACAAACTGATTGTATTGAACGTCCAAGAGGAAAACCGAAAGAGAGGAGGAGATACAGTGTATCACAAAAGTGAGTACACCCCCCCCTCACATTTCATCAAATATTGAAGTATATCTCTTCATACGACAGCACTGAAAAATTACCTTTTGACACAATGAGAAGTAGTCTGTCTGCAGCATATATAACAGACTTAATTTCTTTTCCCCTAAAAATAACTCAAAATATAGCCATTAAAACTAAAGCACTGGCAACAAATGTGAGTACACCCCTAAGAAATTACACCCCTAAATGTCTAAATTGAGTATTGCTTTTCATTTTCCTCCAATGTGACTCATTAGTGTAACTATGCCCATGTGTTCATGGGGAGCAGGTGTATTCAAATTGTAGTGCAGCTCTAACACTCTCTTACCGGTCACTGAAAGTTCCAACATGGCACCACATGGCAAAGAAATCTCTGAGGATCTTAAAAACGTATTGTTGCACTACAAAAGATGGCCAAAGCTGAGAAGATTACCAACACCCTGAAACTGAGCTGCAGCACACAGTGGCTAAGATTATCCACATTTTAAAGAGCAGGATCCACCCAGAACAGGCCTCAGGTAGGTCGTCCAAAAGAAGCTGAGCGTCATCAAAACTTTCTTTGAAAGATCGGCGCAGGAGATTAAAGAGGTTGGGATTCAGCCTGTTAGTGTTCAGACCATACGCCGCACAAACATCAAATTGGTGTGCATGGCTGTCACCCCAGGAAACCTCTTCTGAAGGCAATACACAAGAATGCCCGCAAACAGTTTGCTGAAGACATGTCAACAAAGCCCATAGATTACTGGAACCATGTCCTATGGTCTGATGAGAGGAAATTTAATTTGTTTGGTTCTGATGGCCTTAAGCATGTGGGCGGCGACCAGGTGAGGAGTACAAAGATAAGTGTGTCATTCCTACAGTCAAGCATGGTGGTGGGAATGTCATGGTCTGGGGCTGCATGAGTGCTGCAGGTATTGGAGAGTTACATTTCTTTGGGGAAACATGAACTCCAACATGTACTGTGAAATACTGCAGGAGAGCATGATCCCCCACCCTCCAGAAACTGGGTCGCAAACAGTGTTCCAAGATGACAATGACCCCAAACACATCAAGACAACCTGAAGAGGCTGAGGGGTAAAGGCGATGGACTGGCCAAGCATGTCTCCAGACTTGAACCCAGAACATCTTCGGGCCATCCTCAAAAAGGTGGAGGTGCGCAGAGTCTCAAATATCCGCCAGCTCCGCGACGTCGTCATTTGAAGAGTGGAAGAGCATTCCGTTTGACTACCTGTGTAGCTCTGGTAAACTCTATACCCAGGAGAGTAAAGGCAGTTTTGGATAATGATGGTGGCGACACAAAAGTTGACATGTTAATATTGACAACTTTCCTAAGGGGTGTACTCACTTTTGCTGCCAGGGATTTAGTTTTAATGGCTATATTTTGAGTTATTTGAGGAAAAATAAATTAACTCTGTTATATATGCTGCAGACAGGCTACTTTTCATTGTGTCAAAGTGTCATTTTGTCAGTGTTGTCCCATGAAGAGATATACTGAAATATTTGAAGAAATGTGAGGGGGGTGTACTCACATTTGTGATACACTGCAGAGAGTAAAAGAGAAAGAGAGAGTGGGGGACGTAAAGAGAAAAAAAGGTGAGTGCGACACAGACAAGTATGAAGAATGGTCATCTTAGATAAAGGCAGTTATTTGTAGTAAAGGTTTAAATCATATTTCGTTACCTAACGTTCTGTTGAGAACAAATCCCCCTCTGAACTGCAACAAACCATTTGAAATTAAAATATTGTTTAAAGCTTATCTTCGCGAATTTGTTGCAAACTGAAGGAATTCAGAATTTGTTTAGATTCGTAAAACAGAAAGAGAGGAAGGTATAGAAAGTAAAAGAGTAAGAATCATGGTATAAGAGGAGACAGAGGGGAGAGGGACGTAAAGAGAAAACAGAGAGAGGTATGAGAGGATGAAAACGAAAGGGAGGCGTGTTTAGGGTAAAAGAGCGAGAAAATGTATAGAGAATCGAACAGAGACGGAGAGAGAGGGACGTAGAGAGTAAAACAGAAAGAGAGTAAAAAGGAAGGAAGGAGGGTATAGAGAGTAAAACAGAAAGAGGGACGTAGAGAATAAACTTAAAAGATAGGAGGGTATAGAGAAAAAAAAGGAAATAGAGATGGGTCCGAACAGAACAGAAATAAAAGTCCAGTGTCTAGAGTTTTCAACAGAAGAAAAAACTCTAGAGAGTAAAACAAAGCTAAAACCTATAGAGCTTAATACGAGGAAGAGGGGAGACGTAAATAAAATAAAAAAAAGAGAACGGTAAAGAATGTAAAACAGCAAGAGAGAAGGGTATAGAGAGTAAAACAGAAAAAGAGATATATATATATATATAATATATAAAAGAGAAGAGGGTATAGAGAGTAAAACAGAAAGAGAAAGAAAGGGACGTAGAGACTAAAACAGAAAGAGAGAGGAGTATACAGAGTGAAACATAAAGAGAGAGAGAGAGAGAGAGAGACGTAGAAAGGCAAAAAGTGTGTGCGACACAAAGAAAAACGCACGAGATAGCAGAACTTAGAAGTCTATCAAAACAAATTTACCTTAGGGGGGTTTTTTCTTTGGGAAAAAACAAGAAACATCCGAACAGGGCGAAATAAATCGTCAATTGCCTTAAGTTTTCAGTCCAAAAAAACTCTTTCGAGTTTTAAAGCTAAAACCTAAAGAACTGCTCAATACGATAAGTGAGCTGGGATAAATAAATAAATCCTAAACAGTCAGTTTTTTCGAAACGGATTGTTTTATTTAATATATATATATATATATATATATATATATATATATATATATATATATATATATATATATATATATATATATATATATATATATATATTATATATATATATATAGATTTGAGTCGACCTACACCTAGAGAGCCAGACAAACCTACCTAAATTTCACCTAAACGGATCGTCAGGAAAGAAAGTAAGTCTAGGTAGGTTTGTCTGGCTCACTAGGCATTAAATAGCATAGCTCTACGGTTTCAAGCCTTGGTCTTTTGTTAGTTAATTGTTTACTCTTATCGGGGTTTTTTTTGAAACAACGAGATGCATCTGTGCGATTTTTTGTCAAACTAGAAGTTCATGTTTGTAGCTCTTTCTTTTTAAAACTTTTTCCCTCGAGATTGAATTGATTAAACAGCAAATCAAAAATTCGAGGGTTTTTCAGAAACGAGTCTACTTATCTACAATTATATATATATATATATATATATATATATATATATATATATATATATATATATATATATATATATTCACCGTTAACACTATTCGGATATTCATGCACTGATTTGTGTCGAGCTCTATTTTTCTCTATTATATAAATATATTTCAGAAAACTAATTAATAAATTATGTCTTAATCCGTAGGCATTAAATAGCATAGCATATGTTTTTTCAAGCCTTGGTCGCCATCAGTCTAAGAGAGATAACAGTTTGAATTCAAAACTGTAGAAAACAACGAGATGCCCTCCACTGTCTTTCTCTTATTGACAAACTAGCAGCCATACCCAGCTTGGTCGATCAAAAAAATATGGGTGGACTCAATTATCAAGTTAAATGACTGTTAAACGATTAACTTATTGTTGGCAAAAATTGAGTGAAGTCTATTAGATTGCTTAAAAAATGAGGCTGATTTTAGTTTAACATTTGCGCTGAAATCGATTTTTCGTTTTCCCGGTTTTTCGCTGAACGCAGTGGTGCAAAAACAAAAATGAGGTATCTTGAGCTCGTCATGATGTAAGTAACCTACATACCGAGTTTGAACGAAATAACAGGAAAAAAGTTGAATTTATCGATTTTTGATCGGCTTTATCGATTTTTGATTTTTTTAATTATCGATTTTTTTACGCAAAAAACCTGTCTCTTATATTGTACAATGTATATGCCAAGTTTGTTTAAAATCGGTTGAATGAACCCCGAGTAAAAAGTCATCAAACAGACATCCTCTGTTTTATATATATATATATAGATAAGAAACAGCAAAAAAAAAAAAAGTTAAGAGACGTGAACGCCTCTGACCGGAAGGAACACTGTATTAAAAATGTTTATTTTCTTTTAACCATAAAATTCATAGCGCATAGATACGTAAGCAAACACGCATACCACGACACATTTGAACACACACACACACTAATGCGCATATACATCTTAACATACAAACACATACTTTTAAACACGCCGTTAAGTACTAGATTCATAGACAAATATACGGGCAAAGATAATTCCACATGTACTAAGAAAAATGTCTTCGCTCAACGTGGGACATTTATCGGCGTTCGTAACAGTAAGAGAGAGAGAGAGAGATGCATAAATCAATAATTAAAGATAAGAGTTCGATGCAAGATCTTCTCGAAAAGAGTGAAAACCAAAGAGAGAGAGAGAGAGAGAGAGAAGTGATGGTAAATAAGAATATACACTTTTCTGGGACGATGCCGCAGAAAATTGTGGAGGGTGCGGAGATCTGATCGATATTGATAGAATTCAAGTTTGGTGTCTTCTGGAGATTGAGAGGATCGATGCAGGCGGGAAGGGAACGATGCGACAGACAAAGTCGAAGAGAAGTTGATCAGCTAACGTGTCATCTCATTTAAAATACCACATGAGTGTGTAGGTGTGAAAGAAAGAAAGAAAGAAAGAAAGAAAAGAAAAGAGAGAGAATGGGAAGATATTAAGAAAGGAAGCATAAAAGAAATGGGAAGATATTAAGAAAGAAAGAGACAAGTAAACAAACAAAGGTGATAGGAGAAGAAGAGTATAAAAATACAAAATCGAAGTATCAAATTCTCTCATTCTCTTCTCTCTTTCTACCTCCCCCTACATAAGCAAAGACACAAGCAAAGACACACACATGGACACACACACACACACACACACACACACACACACACACATATATATATATATATATATATATATATATATATATATATATATATATATATATATATATATATATATATATACATAACTGCATAGATAGATAGATAGAAATAGGAAAGCGGAACGAGAGAAAATTAGATGAACAAGATAGATAGATAGATATAAAAATATATATATATATATATATATATATATATATATATATATATATAGATAGATAGATAGATAGATAGATAGATAGATATTTATAAGCCTGATATTTGATATGGGATGGGTTAATTGTTCCATATAGAGGGGGTAGAATTTTTCTCATGGTTTGCGCCAGTTGTGTCGGGAGAGCTGTCTATTCCTGAGATGAAGGGTCCCAATGAGTTACCTGTTTTGTTGATTTTAGGGAGACCGTAAAGTTTGGCCAATTTATGGTCTACCTTGATTTAGAATTCAAGACCATCACTTGATAAGACACCAGAAGTGTTAAAACATAATGCCTATTTTTCTAGTGATTTTATAAAATTTTATGTTATAATTTTCGAATAAATGATTATATTTGCTCTACTCTGTATTGAGTACTCTTTTAAGAATAGTATTTGTTGGTTATTGGAATTTATTCCGTATACACCAATCCTATACTTGGATATATATATATATATATATATATATATATATATATATATATATATATATATAAATTATTATGTATATATTATTTATATGCATGTGTGTGTGCGTGTGCTTGTGTGTGTCTGCGCGCGCTATTTGTGTGTGCTTATATGTGTTTCCTTGAGTACAACGGAAAAGTAATCTTTTTAAAGGATCTTAATCTGTTTTTCTCGAAAAGAGAAAATTGTTCGAAAATGCTGGAAAACATGTGTGAAAAGTGCTGGAAAACATTTATTCGAATTGTAAAATGTTTGAATGAAAATTAATCAAAAGAACAATTATTACTAAACTAGCAACCATACCCGTCTGGTTGATCAGAAAAAGCGTTCAGTTAGAATGGAGGAAAAACAGCATCATGTTTAGATATAATAAAGTCTATCTTCTTCGATTGCTTTAATGTACTTTCATTAAAAAAAAAAAACATTTTGAATTAATAACAGAAGTATTCAGTATTTATTCAATCGTAGTTACCCGAAGACATGAAAACCCACTTCAGACCACAATTATTTGGGAGTTTTGAAATTCAGTTTATCAATGTGCTACCAGGGATGTAAAAGAGGAAATATTTATAAAGCAATTGTTAAGTTTGATGAAAATTGGTTGAAAGATCAACGAAAATATGTAAGAAACCAGTAAAAATCGTCATTTTTCGCTATTTACGCGGGTTTTCACTACATAGGTTGACTCAATTATCAAGTTAAATGACTGTTAAACAATCAACTCATTGTTGGCTACAATTGAGTGAAGTTTGTATTAGATTGCTTGCAAATTGAGGGAGTTTTTAGTTTAAAATTTGTGTTGAAATCGATTTGTGTGGAAATCGATTTTTCGATTTTATCGCGGTTTTTCGCTACACGCAGTGGCGTAGAAATAAAAATGAGGTATCGTTGAGCATGTCATGATGTAAAATTGGATTTATCGATTTCTGATCGGTTTTATCCATTATTGATTTTTTTTAAATTATCGATTTTTTACGCTAAGAACCTACCTCTTACATTGTACAATAAATATGCCAAGTTGTGTCAAAATCGATTGGATGGATCTCGAGTGAAAAGACACACAGACATCCTATGTTTTATATAGAGAGATGATAATTATTCGAAATACCTATGTTTGAAATATGTACGTGGTTCTAATTTGAGAGAATCAATGCTGATTGGATGATAGCATCGAGCTTTTTTGCAGCAAGTGTCATCCCACAATATGGAAATTCTTAGACGGTCTTAAAATAGAACAGGACTTGAAAGAAATTCATATTGCACAAGTAAGAGCAGAATGCTATCAAGAAAGCTAAGAAATATCCTGATGTAAATGGAAAACTTTTAAAAAATTGTGAATTCTTTAACAAGTACTCTTCAGTAGTTCACTATTTGCGTGCAGTAACATATAACTTAAGGTTTCGGTCAACACCAGGAAGTGTAATGGTTAGCAAACTTGTCTCGCTAGAACACTTACGACTGGGTAGTGAGTTCGATCCTCGTTGGGTGCCTCCTTCTTTCGGCCTTGTGCCGCATCTAAGCTATGTTCGGAAAATCGCTATAACTTAAGGTTATAACGATTTCTTCATATTAGGTTGTTTTATTATTTGTATTTCGGATAATTATCATTTGTGTGTTTCCTCTTTTTACTTTTATATTTTTATTTCAATAAAGAATTTTGCATTTCGAATCATTAATATATATAATATAGCTGGCCACTCGTATTCGAGTAACGCGTCTCCTAGGGCGGCTAGCCAATTCCTATTGAAGACGCTTGCTCAGTAGCAATTGGGATTATTCAGCACCCACATAGCACACCTGTGGTTTATACTGCAACTATGTTGAGCAGACCTTAGTTACAGTTTCTGGGAAACTAGCATGATCTACAATTTGAACAAAACCTGCACGCTCAAGCCCTCGACGGCACCCAAGGGTTCCGTCTACCCAATTTCACTCACAAGGCTTGGGTCAATCAGTGGTATGGTTTACAAGCACTTTCCAAAGGTGCCACACGCTGGGGTCGACCCCTACAGTCGGATAACATCAGAAAACCTCCTTCCTGACAAATTGACCATGGTGAGATTCGAACCCGGGTCTCATGGCCAGAATGCAAACGTTCTTATAATTATTAGGTTGGTGCAAAAATAATGACGAAATAATGTCGTTTTTGACGTAACGTCAAAAAACGACATTATTACGTCATTATTTTTGCACCAACCTAATACCATTTATTTTAATTGTTATTTCGATTAATTTTCATTCAAACAATTTAAAATTCGAATAAAGGTTTTTCGAATAATTGTCCCCGAGCAATTATTTTTGAACCCTGATTTCCGAACAATGTTCACATAATAGTTTTTCTAGTATTTATAAAATGTTTCTCTGATAAAGGAAGAGGATTTTGTGGAAACTGGCCGTTAAAATGAATAATGCTGAATAAGATATATACCAATATATTCCATTTAGTCGCATTCAAAGAAAACATGTATAAAAAAGTAATTTCTCAAATACACATAAAGTACATGTACGTGAGGGGGGGTACATGTATTTCAATGCTTATGAGAGTCAGTAAAAATGGTCTGAGAACATTTCACTGGATAGCGGCTCGGGTTAAGGAATCGGAGAGCCGAGTTCAAATCCATTATATTCACTTACGTGCTAATATCCTTGGGAAATGTATGAATCCTCTTCTTCTCCCGACCAGATATGGGTAAATAGCAGCACAGACCTGGTTCTATAGCCTTGGATGGCAAATGGCCTATCGCAGAAAGAAATGGCAACCTACTGCGGGAAAATATTCCTCGTCAGTCATGTATCAAATGATGCATGATCGCCTAAGCGTGTATCACGCATGACACATAACTGACATCATTATATATAGAACATTTATGCTTACATGTAAATTTATGGTTGTATATATTTATATATATATATATATATGCGTATGTAAGCAAATATGTGGATATAGACCCGACAGTTATTCTGTGTAGAATAGTTTTATGTCTATCGTCTTTTCATGTTGACTTGAATATCGTCTAATTTAATTTATGTTTTAATAACTATGTCCTGAAGAAGGTCTACTAGACCGAAACGTCTGACATCGACATTGAAACAACATTAAAACAGCACCCTTGCATATTCGGATTTTTGTTTTTCCATATTTTTCTTCATATGCGTGCGTGTGTGTGTGTGTGTGTGTGTGTGCGTGTGTGTGTTTGTGCGCGCGCGGGTGTGTGTGTTTGTGTGTGTGAGGTGGCCTGACGATTGCGTCAAGTATAAAACAGTCTGTCGCCTCTAAGTGTTGACTTCAATGTTCACTTTTATATTTACACACGCTCTATCTCTGATATTGAGCACTTTATCCCATAAATATAGCACACCTGAAGAGTATATTGCTTGATATATATATATATCATGTCCTATATAGTATCTTATATATATATATATATATATATATATATATGTCATATCTTCACAATATATAGATATCAGACAACACTTGATTTAACGCATAAAAAGTGAATAGGCTAAAATTGACAGCAATATGCATTTATTGCATCGAGTTCACTTGCATCTTGCAAAGCGCTTCATCCTTTGCATCTCAAACGATGAAAATCATATTGAAGATGTTATTTGTTAATATTATAATTCAATAAAATGTTGTTGAAAGTTTCATTTCTTGAAAATACTTTTTTTTGCCTATTTTACAAGACTTTACGGAAACCCTGTATAAGTATACGTGTATATATATATATATATATATATATATATATATATATATATATATATATATATATATATATATATATATATATATATATATATATATATATATATATATATATATGTATGTATGTATACATATATATATATGTGTGTGTGTGTTATATATACATATATTTATAAAATACACACATATATATATATTTACATCTATGCATATATATAAGTAAATAATTAAATATATATATATATTAACTGGGATTTTTAACGTTATTAAAATCATATATATATATATATATATATATAATGCACACACACATATACATATACATCTATGCATATAGATAGCTAGATAATTATATATATATATATATATTAACAGATTTGTTTAACGTTATTAAAATCATATATATATATATATATATATATATATATATATATGTATATATATATATATATATATATATATATATATATATATATATATATATATATGTTTAGACAATACATTTCACTTGTTGACTCTAGTAAACTATAAAACTTACAATAGAATATAGAATATTATAAACTGCCAAGTACGTAATAACAAAAAATAAATATAAATTAAAAAAGGACAAATGTAGTATATTAGATTGTCTCTTGTCATAAACCAATAATCAACATTGGGCATACAACAACAACCCTCTCCGGAAGGACGACAAGCCACTTAAGTGATATCGGTGCCATATAAAAGCATCGTGACATCCACAAACAACTGCCTGTCTCCAGTACAATAATTCTGGCTGATAACACCATTAATCGAAAGGAATCTGACCGCCAACGGCGGCTAAAAATATTATCGAGGCTCAAGGCCTGCATCAATCTCACTTTGCTTAACAATAGTTCGAATGTGTTGGTGGTCTTTTAAGAAGATATTCCAATATAAAAGCATGGCCGTATCCAATCGTGTAGCGTATGATTATTACAGCTTCTATACAATACACCATACACAATTTTCTCGACACGTGAAAAACTGATTAAGATCCTTTAAAAAGATTCCTTCCGTTGTATTCAAGAAACGCATACACGCACACACAATTAGTGCACGCACAGACACACACATGTGCACATACAAACAAACACACACACACACACATACATACACACACACACACACACACACACATGGACATTGAAAAAGAGTAAACGTAGAACACTTGAAA